TTTTGTGTGATGATTTGAAATAAGATCGACAAAATTTGGCCAATAAAATGGCTTGTTTTACAGTGTCCATTATGCTTGTGTGGATCACATGATATTTCAATTTTTCTAAGTTCCCATTATAGGCCTTCTGCACTGTAGTACTCTTCGAACCATTCTACGATTTCGTTAGCCTCTTGAGGAATATGATCCTTTAATTCATCAAATGCTGCAGGAATGTCGTTAGGAGGCAGGAAAGCAAGTGCAGGAATGTGTCTAATTTTTAAACTGAAATTTTCGTCAGTTCCATATTGAACACTAAGTCCAGAACTTTGTACTTTCCGGTAAATGCTCTGAGCCAAATGAAATAAACATCCCTTGTTTTGAACACCTTCAAATTCTCTACGAGCAGCATTGATGGCTGCTCGTTCGAAATCAGTCAAAATAAATTGTGGCCGGAGAAGAACACCATTTTCATCACCAAAATCAACCAATCCCTGAAACAAACCCCTATAACATTCTTCCGATTTTCTGGACATTAATGCATAGACAAGTAGCACTATTTGTGAATTTTCATCTGTACCAACACGTCCATGAATTGAATATAATTGTCTAAATATATTTGGAACTGTTTTAAATGTCCCATCCATAATCCAGAAAGGGGATCATTCCAGATATTGGACATTAGCAATGGTTGTAAAGAGCAATATTCTATCTTCATCCAGGAGAATATCTTTAACCAAAAAGTCTGATCCACTTAGAGTCTTTGTCAAATCTTCAGGAACAATAAGTTCATTTAAAGATTCTGGTTCTACAGGAAGATCAGAACTCCTAATTCGATTAATTGTTTGACGAAGTGCATCACGAGATGGAAGGTATAAATATGCTTCGTGAGAGATACTAGCAGTTGTGGTTTGAATAATTTGTGCAGGTAGTTTATTAGTCTCTTTTCCTCTCTCTTTTAAAGTATTGACAGTTCTTATAACATTGAATCGGCTTGCCTCCGCAGCATGATTATGATCTGTAACTTTTTGGAGACGATGTTGTCCTTCGACAAACTTGGTAACTGCTCGGCCTTTACATTGTAGTGCATCACGTTTTTCACAACGCCAGTAATAAGAATTGTTATTATTTTTATCTTTGCACATAATAAAACCATGAACATTAATTTTGTCTTTGCCACGATTAGAAGAAACGATTTCACAAACAGTATTCATTTTTAAAAAAGGTAGTAAATAAGGTAGTAAATATGTGATGATAGTTACACATAATAAAACCATGAACATTAATTTTGTCTTTGCCACGATTAGAAGAAACGATTTCACAAACAGTATTCATTTTTAAAAAAGGTAGTAAATAAGGTAGTAAATATGTGATGATAGTTATTATTTATGATAAAGTTATTATTTATTTATGATAAGGTTATTATTTATGATAAAGTTATCAAATTAATTAATTAAGAAAATTTTATTCTGATGTCTTTGCGAATTATAGTTGTATTTATAATGAAAAAATTGTCATGTAGACAACAAGTAAACCATACTCTTTCTGAGTATCAAGTGATTGGTAACAAT